GGAAATGTCCAATATAATCAAGTTATAATTATAAAATTAATATAATATTACTAATTAAAGTTCGTTTGAAACTAATCTGAATTGTACTACTACTTTACCGAAAGTGTCTTTTAGTTTTAGCTTTGTAACTTTTTACACAACTAGGAACTTAGTATTTTCTTATCCTACGAAAAAACAATCGATTGATAGCCTTGAAATACACATATAGCAATATACAACAAAAGTAGAAAACCACACGAAAAGATATATTTATATTACATAAATTATTTACTCTACTTTTTTTTTACGAGGGTTCGAAACAGCAGAGGTTATATCAACCCTCGGGGTGCCGGTGTTTTTGAAAAAAAGCCCATTTTTAATCCAGCGGCCCTGCATTCGAACCCTGGACCTTTCCCTTACTGTGATGAGCCGTGTCAACGCCTAAACCGACGCCCCCATTTACTCTACTTAAAACTTACTTTAATAATTAAAATATATCCAGAGATTGGGAAATGACCCATTGGGCTGCTGAGGATGTGCCAATGGGCCCGAAACGTCAATAAAAAGATTTTGATGCCACACAACATTTGAGCTCTCTTTTCTCCACCTACCATCTGACTGAAATATTTAAACATGTTTATTTTATTTATAGTTTTACTCTTAATTAATCTACCTGTTTTTCATTCATATCACTTTGTTAATCAAAGACAAATAAAAAAATTAAAAAGCTTTTATACTAATGTAAATGTAGGACGACCAAATTTTCAAGTTTATTTTACACAATTTTTGCCAAATCATTAAATATGTAAACACACATGAATAACGTTAAATAACATATTACTTATACTTGCTTTGTTTTCGTCTTTTTATGGTGCTAAATAAACTTTTATTTATAAATAAATACATAGATAGAAAAAGAAAGAGATTGATTCATTAATGATGTATTTATTAAAATACACGCAAAAGTTAGGTCTGTAGGACCTTTCTTACAATATCCGTGTAATTACAATTATAATATTTGTTTATAGTCGTAACAGAAATAATATAGAACTAACAAATTATTATAAAACCAACAATGAACTAAATGAATGAAGTGAAAGTAAGTTGAATTTATAAGTTATACTATTTAATTTTACAATTTAAAAATGAAATAAAATACAAATAAATTAATGGTAAAAAAGTATATAAGAAACAGAGAAAAATGAAAGTAATAAATAAAAGTAGAGAGAGAGAGAGAGAGAGAGAGAGAGAGAGAGAGAGCGAGTGAGAAAGAGAAAGAGAGAGAGTGAGAGAGAGCGAGAGAGAGAGAGAGAGTGAGAGAGTGAGAGAGAGAGAGAGATAACGATGAACGCTTTATTTATCAAGGGGTGGAGATTTCTTCTTTCGAAGAAATTAATTTATCATAATAATTTAACTACAAATTGTTCATTATTTATCAAATCATCAATTATCAGCCTGTTCGTTTGTGATGTACGTTTTTAACGTGTTCTACAAGTTTCAAGATGCTCAGCAAGTCCCATGAATATTCGATGTTGAGATTTTTCCTACAGCTCAAATATTTGTCACAGATTGACACTGAAGGGCCCTCGGAATACTCTAATAGAAGGTAACTTTCTAATACTAACAACGAATAGTTCTTTCATTTGAACTTCTTTCAACAAAAATGTGTTGAATATTCTATTCAGCTTGAGGACTAGAATGACCTAGTTTGGAAAAAAGTATTCTAAAATCTTGTGTTTCCATTTTCACGTTTAAAACTAAATCATAAATATGAAAACAAACGTAATTAATTTATGAGTTTTGGTATAGATATCAAGTGTTTTGCTGGTTGTGGTAACTGTTTAATGTTTAATGAATTTTTTATAACAAAAATAATTTCATATGGGACGACATTAAATGTTTACAATAATATTAGTAATATTTATTAACTGGAACTGAAGTATTTTCTGTGCGATTGATACAGCTTACAAGGACAGAATTACAGTATTTTGACAGTCAACCAGTTCTAATGTCATTCCTTTGGGATAAAAGGTACACCGTTCTTGTGTAACCGTTACAGTTTCGCTCCCGAGTCTATTTCCCATACTGAGTGCGATTACATGGTTCCTTTGGACAAATGGGGTGAAGAACTATCCTCCGTTACCAGACCCTTGGGAAAACGAATTGTCCAAGATAGATATACAACGCTTCTTGTTCTAATGATCGCCCAGTCTGAGTATGATTCGATCTGGGATCTGGTTTAACTCAATTTCTATGCATTGCAATCTTGATCTATCGATCAACCTAGTGTAATCGTCTTTAAACAGCTTAACAAAAATGTCGTGCGATATGACATAGTTCACATACCGTTCTTTTTTAAAATATCCATAAATATTTTAAACATTAAAACAAGATTTATAAGAAATTTAGAAATTGTTAGATAGATAGATAGATAGATAGATAGATAGATAGATAGATAGATAGATAGATAGATAGATAGATAGATAGATAGATAGAGAGAGAGAGAGAGAGACAGACAGAGAGAGAGAGACAGAGAGAGAGAGACAGAGAGAGAGAGAGACAGAGAGAGAGCGAGTGAGAAAGAGAGAGTGAGAGAGTGAGAGAGCGAGAGAGAGTGAGAGAGAGAGAGAGAGAGAGAGAGAGAGAGAGAGAGAGAGAGAGAGAGAGAGAGAGAGAGAGAGAGAGAGAGAGAGAGAGAGATAACGATGAACGCTTTATTTATCAATTACACAAAATTTCGTCTCAAGGACCATTCTTACTGCTAATGTGAAATACAATGGTTACTAAGTTTACACTATTTCTAATTTGTTAAACATTAATTACTTCGAATAACTTGATTTTTACAGAATAATTGAGCAATTAAAAAATACTCCTCCTTCCTCCCTTTCTTTCTCTCCCCCTCTCATTCCCTCTCTGTTTCTCTCTTTCTACTTTCTCAATCTCTTTTTCTATTTTTCTAATTATGTATACATTTATCTCTCGATCCCTTTATGTTCTTAATCTCACCTCTCTCTCCTTTCTTGCTTTTTTTAAAAATCTATCTATGTATTTACTAATAAAAGTAAGTCATCAAAAATACGCTTTCAATAAAATTACGTACAAATGACAAATGACAATTATACATTGTCAATATAAATTTAGAAATAAAACTTCTAGTCACTAAATATTAATACAGAAAACTAAAATATACAAAAACAACAAAAGAGGTTAAATTGAAGACAATGAACTTTTAGCATCAATCATAACTTGATAAGAGGTGATTTTTAAGACTATTCCGGAAATCTTTGATATTTTTAGACAACTGTGTATATAGGGAGTCTCGAAAAAATTAGGAGAAATATCATTTAGAAAAGAGAGAGAGAGAGAGAGAGAGAGAGAGAGAGAGAGAGAGAGAGAGAGAGAGAGAGAGAGAGAGAGAGAGAGAGAGAGAGAGAGAGGGGGAGAGAGAGGGTGGGGGAGAGAGAGGGGGTGAGAGAGAGGGAGAGAGAGCGGGAGAGAGAGAGTGAGAGAGAGAGAATGAGAGAGAGAGAAAGAGAGAGAGAGAAAGAGAGAGAGAGAGAAAGAGAGAGAGAGAAAGAGAGAGAGAGAAAGAGAGAGAGTGGGTGGGGGAGAGAGAGGGGGAGAGAGAGAGGGAGTGAGCGGGAGAGGGAGAGTGAGAGAGAGAGAAAGAGAGACAGTGAGGGAGAGAGAGAGAGAGGGTGAGAGAGAGGGTGAGAGAGAGGGAGGGAGAAAGGAAGAAAGAAAGAGAGAGAGTGAGAGAGAGAAAGAGAGAGTGAGGGAGAGAGAGAGAGAGAGAGAGAGAGAGAGAAAGAAAGAAAGAAAGAAATAGAAAGGGAGAGAGAGAGAGAAAGGGAGAGAGAGAGTGAGAGAGAGAGAGAAAGATAGAGAGAGGTGAGAGAGAGGGTGGGGGAGAGCGAGAGGGAGAGAGTGAGAGTGGAAGGAGGGAGAGAGAGAGAAAGAGAGAGAGAGAGAGAGTGAGAGAGAGAGAAAGAAAGAGAGAGAGAGAAAGAAAGAAAGAAAGAGAGAGAAAGAGGGAGAGAGAAAGAGAGAGAGAGAGACAGACAGAGAGAGAGAGACAGAGAGAGAGGGTGGGGGAGAGAGAGGGGGATAAAGATGGTGGGGGAGAGAGAGAGAGGGAGAGAGCGGGAGTGAGAGAGAGAGCGAGCGAGAGAGGGTGAGAGAGAGAGAGTGAGTGGGAGGATGGAGGGAGGGAGAGAGAGTGAGAGAGAGAGAGGGGGTGAGAGGAGAATTACCTTATTTTACACATAAAATTTGTTTGACAAATCAACGTTTACCAAAAAGTGTAACAATCTATTATGGTGATGATGATCTCTGACACTTAGAATTAAGATATACTTATTTATTTATTTTGTTTAATTATTTATCTTTATTACGAGGGTATTGTAACTATGAGGTTATATGTACCCTAGGGGTGCCAGTGATTTTAAAAAAAAGCCCTTTTTTAAATATAACGGGTTCGAATGCAGAGCCTTTACCTTACAGTGATGAGCGCCGTGTCATTAGTCGCGTGTTTTACTACTCACGTGGTTAATTTTTCGGCTATTTTCCCTCGGAAAAAAAACTTGATAGAAAATCTTCCTGGTATCTTCTCAAACCTACAATTTTACCATATTCGTGAAATATCGTCCGTAAAAATAATAATTAGTTAAGTAGGACTTGATTAACATGCATGAAAAAGACTTTACCAACAGAAATAATTATTTGAAATGAAAATTAATAGAAATCATAGTATGTTTGAAAATAACTACCCTATATGACTATGAAATAATAAGAAACGTTGTTTTTAAATTATATTTTTTTGTTTAAATCCTATTAAATTTTGATAATCACGTGGTTTTTTATATATTTTTTTTAAAACAAAAGATTTTATAATTTTAAATAAAATCGTTGACACTAATATAGATTTTATTAATTTAAGTATTAATAATAACAAAAGATCAATTGGAATATGTATTTGATAGAGGAAGACGCGGTGGTAGGGGCTGCTAGCTTGAATGGAAGGGATGCAGAGCCTATAGCAAGTTCCTCGCTATAGAGTCAGCCAGTCGTAAAGGACTATGCCCGTGGGTTCAACATGTTAAAGTGGTTTATCTTGTTCACGCTTGTCATCGGCAGGCTTTCCTCCCAGCAGTCTCCGAGGGCCATCAACTCGACGGGACTTTGGTCTAAGTACAATCTGGTCGTCAAGCCCAACCTGAGCTTGCCAGTCACTACGGCCAAGACGACGACCGCGAGTTCTGTGATTGAATCCAAATACGCGACCCTTGAGATTCCTGACGTTGAAGATGACGATGAGGACGAAGAAGAAGACGACGACGATGACGACGACGATTCAGCGGAAGATGACGTTGAAGAAGTGGTGAAAGACGAAGAAGCAGAAGGTAATTGTATATTTAAAATTATTTCAATCTTCTTCAATCTTTTTTTAAATTAAAAAAAACAACAAAAAACAAAAAAAACAATAGTTTTGATTTTTAACATTTTAGTTTGATTCCAATGAAATAAAAAAAATCAAATTTAAAAACTAGTTATGTAAATTTTCTTAATTAATTTTACAATCTATACAGATTTATATTAGTATAACTTTTTATTTTATTACAATCCATGTAAAAACTGAATGAAACGTTACTGCTGCTTATCCTTTGACTAAAGAACAACAAACCTTTTATTTCTAAATATAAATAATTTAAAGCCAAAAAACATATTTAAGTAAATTGTTTACTGGGTTGATTATTAAATTGTAATTATTTTAAAAATATTAATTTAATGTTTAAATTTTTTCGTACAAAAAGATAACAGTTTACAGATTTTTGGCCAGTCAAGACGTTTTACGAAACGGACAATTATGAATATTCGGGTTATATATTTTTACTGACATAAAAAAAATTAATGTTTTCAATTGAATCAATTATTCTATTTTTGGGTGGTTTTCTAACAATTCAATAACTGATACAAACTAGCCGACATTTGGACGTATTTAGGAAAACGTCAAAATTAGACAGTAAAAAACCTTTAAAAATTTAACTAAAAGTTTTGGAAAAAGAGAAACTAAACAAAATAATTCCTGTTATGCTGAAATTATTAAGGTCTAACCACTTTCATATTATTTTACCACATCTAACCACATTTTTCATATTATTAGTAATTAAAATTCTATAGATTGTGTCGGGATTCGAACTCAGAACCGCTAGAGTGGTAAATACAATAGTAAAATTTAGTTAGTTTGAAAAATAGAAACTAAACAAAATAATTCCTGTTATGCTGAAATTATTAAGGTCGAACCACTTTGCAATACATTTTTCATATTTTTAATAATTAAAATTCTATAGATTGTGTCGGGATTCGAACTCAGAACCGCTAGATTGGTAAATACAGTAGTAAAATTTAGTTCAGTAGCTAGTTTCGACATGATATCTAAAAGGCCTAAATTGAACCACATGGGGCTGAAAATTATTACCAATTAGTATTACTAATTAATAATAGGCTATGGATTTGACGCCAGAACTGCTAGAATACGAATCAGGCGTCCTAACCACTAAGCTACTGAAAATCTATAAAGGAAAAATAGATCAAAGAAAATGATTAAAAAAAGTAAAAAGAAACCAAATTTTGAAATCGCTTAGCTCTTCTAGTGTTATAGAAATATTTATGAATGCATGCAAAATATTTAGTAATAGTAAATATATATACGCAGAGTAAACATTAACTATAAACTGTAAATGGGCAGTAAGTAATAGAGCTTTGGAGAATTTGCCATCCATGTAAGTTTTTATTAATGATCGTAATTATTTGTTTAATATTTGTTATGAAGTCACATTTTATCAACCATGTCTATAAGACAATTGAAAAGTAGAAAGAAAAGAAATTTTATTTTACGAAACATACAAAATTTTTAACGTGTACGAAAAAACTGTCAAATGGAATCGGTTCCTTATTTTGGTCTGAAATTGTTTACATTTCTCATAGAAATTAATAATTTAACAATTTATTTTCACATAGTCAATTTCCATTTTGCAATTCCCCCACCCCAAATATTATTACGTTAAAAAAAATCGATTAATTTAACTAAAAGTAAGAAAACTGATTCCTCACACAAAGATAAACTTTTTTTTTTAATAAACAGTGTGCACTTCTAAGGCCAATTCGACTATTTGATCACAATCAATCAATAATCCACTTTGATTTATCATGACTCTTTCAATATGTATTCAGAGAAGTACAACTATAAAAACAAATATACAATAAAAAAGACAAAAACCAAAAGTCATTAAAACAAGTTCGCAATAAAAATAATATTCTTTTATTACCGAAAGGAAACCATGTTTGTTTGGTCAAATTAATTATAAATTCGATATAAAAAATATGCCTATAGGCCTACCAATTTAATTTTTTTAAATTAAAAACGAAAAAAAACATTATTTAAAAAAAAGTAATTTACTATAAATCCTCAATTTGACGGAATTCAACAAAAAATTGATTGATTGCTTTGACTTTGATTTTTTTAAGCAAATAAAGCAAAGAAGGAGCAATTTAATGATTGGGAATTTTGACAGAACTACTCAGTTTTATTATTATTTGTAATTATTAATTTATTATTTATTATTTAATATGATAGGAAATTGATTTTTTTAAGGATTTTTCTGTTATTGTTGCCATTCGCCAAAACAATTAAGAGCTATTCTCAAAATGTTGGAACATTTATAAATAAAAATAAAAGTTTTAATTATTTATCATTTTAATTATTATTATATATATTCCTTTATTATATACGAGTTTTCAAAATGAAAAATCTATGTCACTGGGAAGATTCGAATCCACGATTGAGAATATTGTATTAATTAATTTACTATTATTAAGTTTGGTTTTTGTACAAAGCATTAGGCTAATCGTATCAAATGTTTAGAATTTTCATCAAAAAGTAAAAAAAAAAAAAACTTTTCAGACCTTTGAACTTCGTGACTTCAGCTAAGAAATCTTTATGGTCAATAATATAAATATGCACAATGTTTATCATAGTTAAAATTAGGCAAATTGAAAGCTATTTTAAAAATATTTTAAAACAATAACACACAGACATTATTGACGAAATTCGTCTGACAGTTCCAACCAGCATGACCAGGCAGACCAGCTGCTCGGAAATACTACAGGTCCACCATCCTGCGTACTTCAACAATGAAAATAAAATTATGCATATAGTTTTTTTACGAGATGTTTTCATTATGTCATATTTAAGTAATTTATCCGTAGAGACAATTGTTCCTGGATATCATTTCTTGTAGAAATATTCAGGCTGAATTCTTAGTACAAGTGTTGCCCTCATGCGTGAGCGTATGCGGAATAAAACCTCAAATTTTCTGATAAACATCCACGGAGAGCGAGTCAAATGTAAACGACGAAAGCATACATCGGGTATCCAATTGCATTTCGAGGGGTAAACGGCCGCCGTTTTAGGTAAATAACAGGTTACCGCAAGTCGTCAGATGTCCATTACTTGGGATTTTTGAGAACGGCTTTCTATCAAAAAGTCATAATCACCCTCTTCGTCTCTAATTGACGTTTGGCAAAAGAGAAAACTGGAAGAAATTCTGCCACGGTCACAAAAACGGCAAGGGTTGGCAAAATTGCAACCTGAATCTGCAAAAACGGGTGGTTTTTCTTGTATAGTAATTGAAATTTTTTATTTTGTTCAGTTTCTTTCTTTTCTATAGTCCAATGAAAATTCAAGACGTTTGTGCAGATTGATTTGGCATAATATAGTTAAAATAAATACTCTGTCTGCAAAGTTTCACTGTTTTATTTTAATTTAGAAGTAAACTTTTACCCATCTATGTAAAAGTTTAACCGTGACCACGCTGAGTCGGATTTAGTTTAATTTACATATATCGGACATGCGTTTCTCCATCGTAGTCTACATCCTGTATATCAAATTCCGACGATAATGATTGGAAAAGTTTTTTAAGGGTTGTGCGGTCTGTGTTTGCATGATTGATCTTGTGGGCAATTTCAACTAGCTGATCTACTACCGTACATACATAGTTTCTTCTTGTCGTTATTAAAATGGCTGAATTATGCCTTTTTTTTCTTCTAACTCTCGCATGGCGAACATACATAAGTGTGTTGTTTATGTTGCAAGCAACATTATCTTACTTTCAACTTTCTCTTATTCTTATATTTTTTGTTTGTTTATTAATCATTTTCGTTTTAAAACGATAATTTTTCTATCCAACGAGCTTTATTAAAAAATAAAATCTAAAAAAATGAGACAATGCTTAAGTCCATTGTTTTTTTGCTGCAATAACAAAAATAAAACTAGCAACAGTAAACAGCAGCGTTTTACTTTATTTACTTGTTAGAAACTTAGTAAAAGACAACAATAAAGAAGGAACTATTAAATCTTATAATGTATCAAGGTTAATGATATAATTACAGGTTGTCTCAGATTCTATCGTTTAGACCAAATTTCAAACTAGATAAAATGAAATAAATACCCCTCCCTCATTTATTTCTTTACAAACCTTTTTGTAAACTTTTGTCGCATCGGAGGAGCGGATCCAACAGAAAAAAAATATTAACGGTTTATCCTTATAACAGGATGACAACGAACAGGGAGCAATAATTCCAAGTTGGCCGTCAGGCAATTATTTCCCGGCAATTTACGTCCCAAGATAGTTCGTTCCGTTTTCAAATAGGATAAAATTGTTTTCCGCTTCAATTATCCGTTATCTTTCTGAACCGTGCGTCTTTCCTAAAACACGGGGGGATGGAAACTTGAAAAGGTATGAATACCTACTGCCAAACTATGGATTTTTTAGGATTCGAAATAGAAAGCAAAATGTTTTCCTGGCTTCGAAACCTTTTTATATTTTTTTGATTGTCCAATATGATTGTTCCTTAGAAATTCAATCCAATTTTGATACATACTTTCAAATTCTTCAATATTTTCTGATCGTTAAATGTGATAAATGTTCGGCCAAAAATGACCCAGTATAAATATATACGCAAAATAATTTCATTTTTTATTGAAAAAAAATCTTTGGTTGAAACTTTTTAAATTCCACTTTTCTTTGATCATAAACGTGCTGAGGAATAACTAGGAAAGTCCAATAATATAACCTCTTTATAATAAATAAATTAAATGTATATATTATGCAATTAAATAACTATGATCAATGACAAAATTATAAATACTTATGTGATCTCTTGTTTTCTTCCTTGTAAGTTAACGAATCTCAATTTTTCGTTGAGTTCTCTCTTGTTGTTCAAGGATGCTCCCTAAGTTGGTTACATTTCAGCATGTTCCCGACAGACATCTCTTAACACTCCAACACCCTCATCCTACCTGACTGATCGTGTAGAATTCTTGGGATTTTAGTAATTTTCA